TCCTTGCTTCCAGAAAGTTGTGGGTGCTCCCATCATTGGAAGTTTCTAAGAAGAGATTGGACAACCGTTTGTCTGAAATGGTCTCCTGCTTGAGTAGGGGCTTGGACTAGGAGACCTCCCAGGTCCCTTCCAACTCTTTCCTTCCTTCCTTCCTTCCTTCCTTCCTTCCTTCCTTCCTTCCTTCCTTCCTTCCTTCCTTCCTTCCTTCTTTCCTTCCTTCTTCTTCTCCTTCTTCTCCTCTTCTTCCCATCCTCATCCTTCTCCTCACCACCACCCCTGAAAGTTTTTCGACATAGAATAACCTCAAAAGGGCAGCTTTGTATAAGTAGTCCTCAACTTATGACCACAATGGAGCAAAAAATACACGTTGCTAAGTGAGACATTTGCTAAGTGAGCTTTGCAGTTAGTAACATGGTTGTTAAGTGAATCTGCCCCCCCCCTTGTCAGAAGGGGATCACATGACCCCGGGACACGGCAGCCATCATTCAACACGAGTCTGAATTTTAATCACGTGGCCACAGGGGTGCCGCCATAGTTGTAAGTGTGAAAAACGGTCATCAGTCACTTTTTTTCAGTGCCGTTGTAACTTTCTATGGTCATTAAATGAACCTTTTGTGAGTCAAGGGCTACCTGTCGCCACGAAAAGGGCAGCCTTGTATGACCACAAGAATATTTCCAATTCTAACGCCGGTCAGTGCATCACAGATGTGCAGGGGGTTGCTAAACAATTAACCAGTGGAACTCCTTGCCTCCAGAAGCGGTGAATGCTCCAACACTGAAAGTTTTTAAGAAGAGACTGGACAGCCATTTGTCCGAAATGGTATAGGGTTTCCTGCCTGAGCAGGGGGTTGGACTAGATGACCTCCAAGGTCCCTTCTGACTTTATTATTATTATAATCAAGGAGAGAAGCAACCTAGAACAAAGGAGAAATTTCCTGACAGTGAGAACAATTAACCAGTGGAACCACCTGCCTCCAGAAGCGGTGAATGCTCCAACACTGAAAGTTTTTAAGAAGAGACTGGACAGCCATTTGTCCGAAATGGTATAGGGTTTCCTGCCTGTACAGGGGGTTGGACTAGAAGACCTCCAACGTCCCTTCCAACTCTTATTAATTTTTATTGTTATTATTGTTTTGTTTGTTGTTATTTTGTTGTTGTTGTTGTTGTTGTTGTTATTATTATTATTATTTCCACAGGTCTTAAAGTTGCCAAGGTTGGATACTCTCACTCTATACATTCTGGACAAACGGCTGTCCAGTCTCTTCTTAAAAACCTCCAGTGGTGGAGCATTCACAACTTCTGGAGGCAGGTTATTCCACTGGTTAATTGTTCTCACTGTCAGGAAATTTCTCCTTAGTTCTAAACTGGATTTCTCTTTGATGAGCTTCCATCCGTTACTGGTTAACCTGCCCTCAGGTGTGTTAAATGAATTAAAACCAGATTTGCAATGCAAGCAGCCCACAGGTGAGACGAGCCGGCATTGGAAGTTGAATTCATCAGCTGTACTGTGTGTAAATGTTCCACTGGGTTGCATTTAATTGTTCCTTTCAATTGCGGTAGCCAATAATTAACATGTAGGTTTGTGCAGGAAGAGCTGCGGCACTCCAGGGTCATGTAATTGCCATTTACGACCTTCTCAGCCAAGTTAAGGGGGGGGGCTGGATTCACTTAATGACTGTGTGATTTACTTAATCGTGGCAAAAACCATGGTCATAAAATTAGGCACAATTAACTGCCTTGCTTACCCATGCAAATTCTAGTTGCAATTGTCATAAGTCAAGAACTGCTGTTATTTTTTTGACCCAGCCATCTCAAAATGTTAAAAAAAATACCCCTCTTGCAGACCTGGGCACCCCCAAATTGGCAGATAAAGAGTGCAGAGAAGAGCAACAAAGATGATTAGAGGACTGGAGGCTAAAACATGCAAGGAACGGTTGCTGGAATTGGGTCTGTCTAGTTTAATGAGAAGGACGAGGGGGGACAGGATAGCAGCCTTCCAGTATCTCAGGGGCTGCCCCAAAGAAGAGGGAGTCAAGCTATTCTCCAAAGCGCCCGAAGGCAGGACAAGGAGCAACGGATGGAAACTCACCAAGGAGAGAAGCAACCTGGAACTAAGGAGAAACGTCCTGACAGTGAGAACAATTAACCAGTGGAACTCCTTGCCTCCAGAAGCTGTGAATGTTCCAACGCTGGAAGTTTTTAAGAAGAAACAGCCATTTGTCTGAAATGGTATCAGGTTTCCTGCCTGAGCAGGGGGTTGGACTAGATGACCTCCAAGATCCCTTCCAACTTTATTATTATTATTATTATTAACAGAAGATTTCAGAGCAGACCAAAATTGATTATCTAAGATGCCAGGATCCGAGTAGTATTTTTTTTCACCCAGGCACCTCCAAATGTTAAAAAAAAACAACACCTCTTGCAGAGCTGCCAAAGACCCCCTGCCTCGTTGCCATGGCTTCGGGCTAAGTGGACCAGTGGCTTAACTCACAGAGCTGGAAGGGACCTCAAAGGTCATCTGTCCAACCCCGCGCAGGCAGGGAGACCCACCGCCCAGGAGAAAGAACTTCGGAGGGAGTTTATCCGAGACGGGCCCAGCGTGGGAGCCTCCCTTCCCCCCCAGAGGCATCAGGCCTGGCTCTTATAGAGGGAATCCCCGACTTACAACGGTCCATTTAGTGACCATTCAAAGTTACAACGGCAGGGAGAAAAGGGACTTACGACCGATTTTCACACAACCGTTGTGGTCACATTATCAAAATCCGGACGTTTGGCAACTGGCTTGAATTTATGACGCTTGCACTGTCCCGTGTGTGTGTGTGCGTGTGTGTGACATGATCCCCTTTTGCAACCTTCTGACCTGCAAACTTAACGGGGGAAGCTGGATTCACTTAACAACTGTGTCACCAACTTTAACAACTGCAGTGATTCACTTAGCGGTAGCGAGAAAGATCGTAAAAATAGGGGCAAAACTCACACAACAAATGCCTCACCTAGCGACAGAAATTTTGGGGTCCATTTGTGGTTATAAGCCGAGGACTTCCTGTATTGGGAAAGCTCAAAGGGGACCTTTGTGGTTCTCCCCCCCCCATTTTTAATACACATTAAAATATGCCATAGTTGTTGAATACCCACAAGCTCGGAGAAGGAACCTTTTCACCCACATTAAAACATTCTACTTAGCGACAGAAATTTTGGGCTCGGTCGTTAAGTCGAGGACTGTCTGTCACCCCAAGACCATCTTCACAGGTCCCTTCCCAAGATACAAAAAACCACCAAGGGGGCACCAATTCGGGGCCCTCACCGGAAGCAACCGCCGTGCCTCCTGCTCAGCAACGTCTCCAAAAAGAGAGAGAGGAAAAATCAAATCAAATCAAAGGCAACTTTGATGAATGCATTCATTAAGATAAATCACATTACTTCCAAGCCCAGCGGCTCTGCTTATGGGAAGGCAGGGAAAAAAAACCCAGGGTGTGGCACCAGCAGCGGATTCCCACTTCCTTATCAGCAGCACGTATCTTACTCCACACACACAAACACACAAAGATGCTTTTCAGAGGGGAAGATGGTTTCTCTAGTCCGTTTTCTTTCTTTTTTTCCTTTCTGAATGGTTTTTTTTGTTTTATGCAGAGAATTAAGGTAAAAATAACAACTCAATAATAATAATTTTTTTTTTTACAAAAACATAACAAAGATAGCCCAAACATTAAAAAAAAACATGCATCAAAGGGCATATATATATGTGTGTGTGTGTGTGTGTGTGTGTGTGTGTGTCCCTGGGGTCTGTTTTGTGGGGCTGCCCATCTCACTCCCTCCAAAGACCGACCCCCCCACCTGGCAAGGAGAGCCCTCTGCGCATGGTCAGGAGCACCCTCGCCTTTTTGATTTATTGCACTGGCAGCCTACCCATCTTGCTCTCTCGAGTGGCCAGATGGGCTCTGATGGGGTCCGAGGTCGCCTATGGGTGGGTGGGGGGGTATTTCACCCCCTATGCAGAGTCTTCCTGCCCCCTCCGCCTTGGGACCCCCCCCTGCTCGAGGGTCTTTCTTTGACTCCGCAGGTGTGAAGCGGCGTGGGGGGGGATCTGCAGAGCTGCGGGGGTCTCTGCCTGCCCGACCCTTCCCCAAGGGCACCCCGAGAGGGATGCACCCCCAAAGGAGTGCCCCCCACTTCTGCAACATGACCAGCTGAGACTCTCGAGGGCCCCCCTGTGGCGAGGGGGGGGAGACTTGGGGAGGAGAAAAGGGGAGCTTGAAAGGCCCTGGGCGACCCCCCACCCCAAAAGTGGGACAAAAGGGTCCCCTCCCTCTCTCCTCCCCCAAAGGGCGGCCATGGTCCCCCTCCCATCCCCAAAGAGGGGTAAGATCCCCCTCCCTCTCCCGCCAAATGGGGCGCAAGGTCCCCCTCCCCTCCCCAAAGAGGGATAAAATTCCCCCTCCCTCTCCCCTCCCCCCAAAT